TTGTTCCACATCCTTGCGCAGTATTTTGTACAAAGAGGCGAAAACGCTGTAAATACCAGTGCTTGGGGCATGGACGCAATATGAATGACGTTCTCATCCCCCTCCCCCCACCCCCCACCCCCCTTTTCCGAAAGCAAAGCAAAGTCCTATCGCAGCACCGAAACCGCAAAAAATGCAGAAAAGCTCTAAAACCCTAAAACCCTAAAAGCCCCAAAACCCTAAACCCTAAAACCCCAAAACCCTAAAACCCCAAAAGCCCTAAAACCCGAAAGCCCCAAAACCCTAAAAGCCCTAAAACCCTAAAAGCCCTAAAACCCTAAAACCGTAAAACCCCCTAAAACCCCCTAAAAGCCACAAAACCCTAAAAGCCCTAAAACCCCAAAGCCCTAAAACCCCTAAAAGCGCTAAAAGCCCTAAAAGCCCTAAACCCTGAAACCCTAAAACCCCCTTAAAACCCCCTAAAAGCCCCAAAACCCTAAAAGCCCTAAAACCCCAAAGCCCGAAAAGCCCTAAAAGCCCTAAAAGCCCCAAAATCCTAAACCCTAAACCCCTAAAAGCCCCTAAAACCCTAAAACCCCAAAAAGCCCTAAAACCCTAAAACCCCCTCACCTTCGTAAGTTGCGGGCGAAGCTCCACGCCCAGGCTCATCAAGGCTCGGGCTGCCTTCGGCTTCTTCAAGAGGTTCACGAACTCCTCGCAATGGGTGGTTGTCAAAATTATGGTCTTTTTCTGGGTCCTTATTGTAATACGGCACCTACTATTTAGGGTACCCCAAAAGGGAAAGAGGTTCACGAACTCCTGGGCGGTTTAGGGCTTTAGGGTTTTAGGGTCTTAGGGTTTTAGGGTGTTGGGTTTTGGGTTTTCGGCTTCTTCAAGAGGTTCACGAACTCCTGGGGGGTTTAGGGCTTTAGGGCTTTAGGGCTTTAGGGTCTTAGGGTTTTAGGGTTTTGGGTTTTCGGCTTCTTCAAGAGGTTCACGAACTCCTGGGGGGTTTAGGGCTTTGTGGGGCTTTAGGGCTTTAGGGTCTTAGGGTTTTAGGGTTTTGGGTTTTGGGTTTTCGGCTTCTTCAAGAGGTTCACGAACTCCTCGCAATGGACTTTCGAGGCGGTTGGGTTGGGTGGGGGGTTTAGGGCTTTAGGGCTTTAGGGCTTTAGGGGTTTAGGGTTTTTGGGTTTTGGGTTTTGGGTTTTAGGGTTTAGGGAGGCTGTGACCCATATTTAGAAGTTAGGGTTTAGGAGGCCTCTGATGCAGGTCTAAGATTTCGACTGTACCTGTAGTCTCCATTGTAGTTCCTTTTTGGTTTAACCAATTATACATTAAGGATTTTATTATAACGCATCCCAAAAAGGGACTACAATGGAGACCATAGGTAGAATGCACTTTCTGTTGGGCAAAGCCCCGGCCTTCTCTGAGAGTAAGTTGTCCCCATCCTCATCGCCCTCCTTGTCGATGAGCTCCCACAGAACCTGATCGGCAAAAGGGATCTCAATTAATTACTACTGTAAGGGGCCTCAAGAAATACCTATACTATTTTGGGGGGGTTCCATATATAGTATAATTCATGACAAACGCAACATTAGGCCACCTGCGAAATACGTTCACTGCGGTCGAAAAGCTTTTCTGGCAAAGTCGGCATCCAGCTGTTCTCGCTCGATCGTCGAAACCGTTTTCACAGCCTCTACGAGGACGCCCAACAGCATGTTCATCACCTCAAGAAGATGACAGAAGCATGCAGAAGCTAAGCTTGCAAGCACAATGGCTCTCAAGCTACAGTGTCTCAGGCAGAAGGAAACCAATTCAGAAACTTCTGCGACAATCTTGGAGAAGTACCCGAGACCGATGGATTCTGACCCTGCATGATGCTCTGTTGTCGTCGGTGGCCGTGGTGGTGCTGTTAACGGTGGCCGAGGCGGTGGTGGCGGCGGCCGTGGTGGTGCCGGCGCCAGTGACAGCGGTGGTGGTGTGGGGGCTTGCGGTGGCGACGAGGTGGTATGGGTGGTGATGATGCTGGCGGCGGTCGCGGTGATGATGGTAATGCTGCTCGGAATGCTTCTTTTTAAGTGGTGCTGGCAGCGCTGGCACGGGATCCTGCTGCCACTCTTGATGCTAGGGGTCGGAGTGTCGAGGCGGTGGCGGGACGAACGACACCAGCGGTGATCACGATGAGCATTCCTGCTTAAAGGCTCATGGGACTTAGTATCTAGGGTCATGAATAGGGTAACTATATTTATAAGTGCTTCTAACCCCAATTAAGGTACTTATAACTGCACTTACTAAGTCCCATGAACCTCCAAGTGTCTAACGACCCTTTCACAAAGCCGCCCTGCCATGGCCACAGCTTCTGACAGCGCCCCTTGCTCCCCCATAAGCCGTAAGCTCCTGACCGTTAAGGATCCGAGTAGGATAAACAGCAAGACAAGCGCTGCCAGCGGCCAACTCTCTGAGGCGATGATATTGAAGAAGACCTGGCCGACAAGACACATACGCCTCTAACTCTAGAATTCAAAAAGACCCTTCTGTTTTTGGAGGTCACGGCAATGTCCATGGTTGCAACACTGACTGACCAACGATCGCAGATTCCGTGCCAGTTCGGAAGCAAAAGCTTGAGCTGGGCCTCCTGATCTGGAAGCACGCATCTCAAGATCCTCGGGAACACGGACCCTTCTATGCCATCATGCTCCACCATGTCGACATTTCAAGATCAAACTGATATGGCGATATGGAGTTGCTGAGCCAAGCATCAGCGTCATGATAGAAGTGCCCATAGAGGAGAAATACTCATTTTCCAAGCTTGGGTGGCCACGGCTGAACTCGATGAAGGTGATGCTGAAGACGAAAGTGATGAGGAGCAGCAGGACCAGTGTAAAGAAGACTGAACGGCAGGCCACCAGCATGCCCTTCACGAGGATCATCAACTCTGGCATCAGCTTCACTAAACGAGCCTAAGGGGAGCGATGCATGCGAAACACTCTGCGGCTTGCTCCGACCTTGCCAAGAGTTCTGACTTCATTTGCGGAATGACGGTGTTGCAGAAGCAGCTACAATCACATGGGAGTTTCAGAAAATTAGGGTACCTTATTTTTGGGTCCTTATAATAAGGATCCTACTATTTAGGGTACTATATTAGGGTCCCCTATTTCCGGAAAGCCCCACATGCCAAACAGAGTGCGACTTGGGCCGGTCTTTCACTCGGCGTCCACTGCGCAGCATGACTCTTATACAAGTAAACCCGTAAACATAATGATGTCCAGTGGAGAGTCATCGTCCTGGCACGACCAGAACCACAAGAATGGTCATACTGCTGGTCGTATGACAAGCAGAAAGCACCGGTACCGAGAATGGATTTGAGCAGCAAATCTGTGGCAAGTAGCGAAGTCCAGATTCAGTACACTCTTGACTGCCGATAAGGGTCAGAGCAGGAACAATCATGCCAACAGTGAAAGCAGGGTTATGGCAATGGTGAGAGCACGGGTCAGCTGCACAAGATGGTCGATCTTTGACAAGGCCTTTTGCAGCTGAGGGGCCATGCGCGCCTGGACAAGTGGCGGGACAAATAGAGGCACATGTTCGTTTCTCTTTGATCGGCAAAGTGCACAATGTGTCATGGTGGGGTGAAGTACAGCCGAATGTGGATGCGCATATGGTAACCAGTTGCGGAAGCGACCATCGTTTTACTATGGAATTGTTACTTCCCGACAGGAAGTTCCGGACATTTGTCACCATGAAAGAAGTTCAGGTAAGTAGGCAGTACGAACTCTAACAATCTCGAAATGCGTGTTCCTGCCACCCTACTCAGCATGAACTCGCTCGGAGACTTGCCAGGCCAACAAAAACATCTTAGCTGGTGGAAGCCTTTTTCGATCCCCATGTTCTTGGTACCTGTTCATGGCGCTGTAGCGACGAAGCAAAGGAAACAGGACTCGCACGTCTGCACGCTGCAGCAGGGGGGGGCCCTCTCGATCTTGAAACTCATTAAGCACAGCTAAGCTCAACAGCCGATTCATACGACTCCTGCTGCTGCTGCTGCTGCACAAACGGTCTAGGCGAAGAATGAGCGAATGTTTGGTACAGATACGGATGGTGGATTAATGCCTTGAGTGATGGAGGTGGTGGTGGTGGTGGTGGTGGTGGTGGTGGTGGTGATGATGATGATGGTGACGGCGACAATGACGATAATTAGGCTGATGATGATGATGATGGTGGTGGTGACGATGATAATGTTGACGACGATGATGATGATGATGATGATGATGATGAGGGTGTTGGTGATGGTGATGCTGAGGATGATGATGATGAAGGAAAAGACGAAGATAATGATGATGACGATGATGCCGATGATGGTGATGATGATAACGATGATGCCGATGATGGTGATGATGATGACGATGCTTATGACGATGATGGTAATGACGACAATGATGATGAATGATGATGAGGACAACGATGCTGCTGATGATGATGACGATGGTGATGGTGATGGTGATGATGACAATGATGATGCGAGGAGGAGGAGGAGGAAGAGGAGGAGGAGGAGGAGGACGCTGATGGTGGTGATGATGCTGGTGGTGAAAACCACTTCTGCTGACGCTGATGATGATGATGATGATGATGACTGTGATATGGATGAGGATGATGAGGAGGATGAGGATGATGATGACGGTGGTGGCGATGATGATGGTGACGATGGTGGAGAGGATGAGCATGAGGACGAGGATGACGATGATAAGGAGGAGGAGGAGGAGGCGGACGATGATGACGACAACACTGATGATGATGATAATGATGCTGATGATGATGATGTTGATGATGATCATGGTGCTGATGACGAACATACAGATGTCACTGCGGATTTGCGGTGTGCTCAAGACGATGGTAAGATACCAGAGGATACCAAGTGGTAGCGGATGGCGGTGGCGGCGCCGGTGCTGGTGCCATTGCTGCTAGCGTTCGTCGTGCTGGTGCTGGTGGAGGAGGAGGAGGAAGTCGTGAGTAGTGATGGTGCTGGTGCTGGTGCTGGTACATGGGGTATGGATGTGATCGGCCGAGTGGCGGTTCGGAGCACTCGCAGCACACGCGCCACTCGCAGAGCATTGGCTGTGTTGAGAGTGTCTCCGCCCTGCCCGACCGCACTCAGAAGTGGAAAGACCTCAAGAAGATCGCATGTCCGATAGACGGTTGGCAAACACCGCAAGCTCACATCCATCTTAATGTCAGATGTTAGCAAGATGATAAAAAGAAGCAAGTCTACGAATGCAATCCTGAGTCTAACACCAGCCCCTGCTGCTGCTTACAGCAAGCAGAAGCTCTTTCCAAAGGTAGTGCGAGCCTTCCAAACTCTGCGCCTCAACCCTCCCTTTGCAAACGCAAGCAGTGTAGTCGCAGAGACAACATTGCAAACATCAATCATGGATTGTCGAGCTTGCATCAAGGAGCCCATGTCTCGAAGTTCATAAGCACAACCAGCAAGAAGTCGAAGGAGAACCACGCGTCTTTCAATGCTTGGCAGGTGGAAATATAGGTGGCATATCCTGAGCTGCAGAATTCCATGCTATCTATAATATACTTCTCCTTGCTCTAAGCCCAGTCAACAACCTTGAGCCCGGTGTCTGCTCTTCAACTCCTGACCTGCTACCAAGCATCTGATGACAAGCTCCACAGTGAAGAAGATGCAAAACAAGACTTCTGCTACAATGAAGATCGGGTCCGCTTCAGTTATCACCGTGTAGTCGCTGAATTCGGCGTTGATTGCCATTTCCACCTCGACAAAGTCATTTCCAGTCAAGAGTTGGAGTGGCAAACGGCCGCAAATCACGTCTGTTCTAGAAGCGGGAGCGTTGGAAATCCTACAGTTTACGCGAGAAGCAGACACACCCTCACACATTGATCTCCAAGCCTACGCCTCTGCACCCCGAGCTCAGAACACTTGGGATGAGAAAGATTAGTTCTGAACAGGGACGGCATTCAAGAAGATGACGGACAACGTCAGGCGCTCAAACCACGGGTTTCGGACGATCGTCAGGCAGCGGTTCCTAGGTCTGTGTTTCATCGCGCGGCCAAGCCGGATAGGGCATTTCGCAATCAACTACTGTTTTGCGGTGAAGCCAGTATACAAGGTCGGCGTACTGCTTCTGTGACTTTGTGGAACTCCCACCGACAATTTCAATCGCTACATCCTACGTAATTCCTGAGCCCCAAGGCCCTATGTCTCACAACGTGAGTTTTACTAACAAAAAAAAGAATGTTGAAGAAAACCCAAGTTCTCAGCTCTCATGCTGTCCATGCGATCCCACCTTAGCAGTGGTTTAGGTGTAGGGTTTGGGGGTTTAGAGTTAGGAGGTAAACCTGCGGAATCTGTAGTCCCCAGACCTCATCTGCACATGTCCAAACCGTTGAGTCTTGGTCCTATGCCTGTCGAGACAGAGATCAATAAGCCATCAGTTGCATTCCATGGAATCTTGACTAACCTGTGTCCCTCATCTGCGTTTGATGCTGGTGCTTGGGGCATCTGGAGGCTACGCAATGACACGTGCGTGCACAGTTGTTAAACAAGAGATGAGCGGATACCAACATCTATGGAAAAGTCCCTCATGATGGGTTCAGCACATGCGGAAAATGGCAAAATCAAACACAGGATTTCTCACCGTCACCTGGAATCCCCAAGCTCAGGGTCTAGGATTTGCCTTCAGCCACAATATGCCAGAATTTCAGATGCAGGAATCTCAGGAAGCAAGCCAAACCCATCGCACAAACTGATCTGAGGGGGCCCTTTGTTTGCCCTTGAAGCGGGCGGTGCCAGCGGTAACAGCAGTGTCAAAATCTTGCCAGTCAAGTCTAGCTGCTCGAGTCCCTCTTCGACATTCTTTCTGACTTGAGCCACCGAGTACCTCAGCGTCGTCGACAATGTCCCAAAGGAGTCAATTTAGTGCACCGTGTCGGTTGCAGGAGGCACAGCGTCAAAGGCAGGCACGTCGACACATTCACGGAACATAGGACTCCACGCTCGTGGCGCACACAATTGAAGCTAGCGGTCCTTGAACTAAAGCAGCCGTCTGGAATCATGCAATGCAGCTCCTGGTGTGCCCTTCCTTTCACAAGTCTGGAAAAGAAAGATGTGCCATGGACAAGACTGTCGAGCATTGCTGAAGCCTTAGCCATAGGCATTAAACGCAAGCATCCTGTGCGCTGGCCAGGTGCTCATTGTGGTACTTGCCGAAGAGGCCAACAGAATGATTTTGGCCCTCCTTTTCTGCCAAGTCCTGGCAATTTAGCGCAGACACCAAGTTAAGAAACCCCCCTGGTTGGAAGCTCCTCTAGCGCTAGCAGGCTTGCCCTCAACTGGCCCAGTTTCTCGACGTTATTGCGTGGGATCACTCAAACCCCCCAAGCAGGTTAGTCTATTCCTCAGAAACCCAGGCCAGCTTGCATTTGCAGCTCAGCTGACGTCTGGGGAACAATCAAAGAAGTTTCGGTAATATGGCGAGTAAGGGCTGCAACATCTGCTTCTATCGTGAAAGGGTCGCTGTTGCAGCCCTCGATCCAGTTTTGCTCGACCTCGTACCCATCATCATCACCTGGATGGGCACCACCTCCATCATCATGCACATTTTGTTCGCCACCATCACTATCACCATCGACCGATACAGTAAGCACTGTCAACAGCATCATCATGACCATCACCACCATCTACATCTCCATTACTATCAATGTGCAAAGGATTATCATCCTGGGCGCCGTCGGCACCAACACCCCGGACTATCAGCAGCAGCATCACCAACACTAATCAACATCATCCTATTGATAGTCTTCGTCGTCGGCGCCACAACCACCACCATCAAGCAGCAACTGTCAGCACTATGAGAACAAAGCTAAACAGCTTTCGCACCCGTGCCGTTATGGTCATCTGCGTCTCCATCATCACAAATGTCATCTGCCGATTAGTGCAAGACCCTTCAAGAAACGCCAGCCGGCCTTATTCGCATCCAATGGCTTGTTTCGGGATGCACCGAAAGCAACGTATTTATGCAGACCTCCGAAAATGTTTGATTTTCTTTACTACTTTGTCCGTCTCTAGTCGTCTCGTGTACAAACTACCCACTCTCCAGCCCATGGACGCCATCATCACTGTGCTCTCAACTATCGCACACGACTTTCCAAAAAGAGCTTGCGCTTCTGATCCGCACCGCATAAGAGGCCCCGCACTGGGAGTGGCTGGACAAGGGCGTCTTTGCCGTCTACTCAAGCTTCAGCCGCATTGAACAAAGACCTCTCCGTCCGCTCAGTCCACTGGTTCACTCAACCCATCATCATCATCATCATCATCAGCGTCATCACCGTCATGGCTCATCAGCATCATCATCATGGCCTTAGCCGCCTTACCCAATTCTTATTGGCCAGCATCATCAGCACCAATCAGCATCGTCACCATCGCACGACATCACACACCCTCTCAAGGTTCCAGAATCTCAAGATGTCTCAAGCTTGATTCTCCGTGCTGTTCTTCTCCGGGCCGTCTCGTAGCAGATGGTTCTGTGCGCTCAGGCATGTCATATTCCCTAAACCCTAAACCCTA